ATTTAATTAATACATTTTTCAATTTAATTATTACTTAAAAAATATTTTTTTAAAAAAATTAAAACTAATAGGCAGTTCACAGATTTAAAAAAATTATATAATTAAATAATAATTATTATGATTATTATTATTACCATGTTTCAAACTAATATTACCAGTATACTAAAATTATTATTATAATTACATTTAAAAAAATAAAAATTGTAAATTTATCACTAGTATTTACAGATAATTCACTGAGAGAATAGAGTAATAAATAGCGCCACCTTAGAATTATATTATTGAATTAAATAAAATAAAATAAATTTAATAAATAACGTTAATAAAAACTTTTATTTTAACAAAGTTTTGACATTACAATAGTGTTGTTATTTTTCAAAGTTTGCAAAATATTAATTAAAAAACCTTCGTAATGGTAGTTGTTGGCAAATATTTTTGTTCAATTTTTAATAAATGATCACAACATTTTGACCAATGATTATCTATGTCAATATCAACAAATGTATTTTCCATTAAATCAATAAAACTATTTTTAGTAAATCCTATATTTTTAATGGATATCCTTCTTTTCCATTCCGCCCATATTTGCTCAATTGGATTTAATTCGCAATTATAGGGCGGCGTCCGTAATGGTATATGTCCTGCATTACGGATGATATTATCGACAACATATTCACGCTTTGATTTATGTTGTCTTACAATATCCATAAGTTTACGTTTATTTAATTTATTATTAAAATTAATTTTGTTATTATTTAGCCATAGTTTTATATCTCCTACTTTCCAAGCAGAAGTGGGAAACCTAAAACAATTATTGATATAAATAAATAAAACATTATCATTAGTAAAGCGAGTGGCCATTGACGGCTTATAACGACATATACAAACCTTTGCAACAATCGAGAATGTGTTGTTGCATTGTCGAACACAATTACAGTTGGTTTTGATGTTAAATTTGGTATTAGTTTGTTTTTGATCCAATTTTCAAATGAATCTGAATTCAATTCTTCATTTACGGATAAATGTAATGATCCAATGACAAACCCATCACGACTACCGGCATATATTATACTGAACCTTTGACCAGTTGACGGAACTGTAATAATATAAGTGAAAAGTTTTGTGTTTTACATTAACATTGTTACCAGCATTAAGGGTTGCTCCCATACATTTTTTAATTAATTTTTAAAAATTACTTATATTATTAATCATATTTTACTTACCAACACTAAACTTTACCCTTAATTTTTTTGACTTATTTAAAGGTAATAATATTTTTGCTCTAATAATATTTTTGTGGATATATGTTTCATCCAAATATACAATTTTATATTTCTTTTCTAAAACTCTTTTTCTTTTCAAATATTTTCGCCGATAACTATTAATAACTGGACTATTAATCTTCATTTCTCTTAATGCTATCTTTGAATCTCTTGTCTTATATCCCATTTTCTTTAATATTTGATAAAATGTAGTTCTTTTGCAGTTTTTAAAACTTAATATTTTACTCTTAGATTTAGAGTTAAAAATGTCTTGTTTTGATGGAATTAGTCCACTATTATAGGACTTGACAATCATATTGTCAATAACATTGAAGTCCTTAAGTGTTGGACTATATTTTGGCGATCGATTTTTAGTCTTTTTTGGTGATTTATCGCCATTCAATCTACTTATAAAAATATTTTTTATGTAATTTTTATTTAATAATATAATTTAATATAAAGTTTGTGGGCTTATTTTGGCTTATCAGCTATTATTCAATAATTGTTTTATTTGTTTTCAACTTTAACTCATTCATTCATAATTATTCAATTGTAAAGGATCTGTGGTTAAAAAACTTACCCTATTATTTTCCAAATAGTACTTTTCCCGCGTTTAAACTTTAAGGCCAGATCACTAATTATCTCTGTTTTGGTCTCTTTACCATTTGTCACTCTTTCATTATATTGATCAATAATTAGTGACCTAATTTCTGAATTAATTCGGACACCTTTACCCCTTTTCGGTGTCACGTTTTCTTTGTTGTCCATTTTTCGGCGGCCGATTCGATATGCTATACACTGATCAATACAGAGACTGATACTTCACATTTAAATAAAAATTATGAGACGTAACTCATGTGACTAACATTTGTTTTTAATTAGTTAATAAATTAATACATATAGATAGCGCTCATATAACTCTATTCTCTCAGTGAATGATCTGTAATTATTTTTTTACATAAAAAATAACATAAAAATTAAAAAAAAATAATTTATTTATTCCTAATAAAAAACAAAAATATTATTTTTAAAAAAAACAATAAATTTCATTCAAAAATTGTTTGTAAAATTAATCTAGATAAAATAATTGATGAAAAAAAGTAATTTAAACTATACTATATTATCAATTTTTTTCAAGTAATTAAAAAAAAATCATTTAAAATATAATAATATAGTTTTTTAAATGTAATAATTTTTTTTTTGAAACATGGAAATAATAATTAATATTTTTTTGTATATATATTTAAAAAAAATTATACATTTTTTTATTGATAGTCATATAACGTAATTTGTTATTATCTATTAATAATAATAATTATTTAAAAAAATTATTATAATTATGAGAATCCCTAAGTTTATAATTATGAGAATCCCTAAGTTTATAATTATAATTAATTAAAAATTAATTTGCAATATATATATATATATATATATATATATATATATATACAAACACACACAAAAATTTTGTGCATATATATATATATGTATGTAATTTGACACAGGTAAGTTTTTATTAAAAATTTATTTATTTTATTTAAATAATAATAATAATAATAACTAAAACTATTATTTTTTTAATATATATATATATATAGTATATACTACTGTAGTATATATTTATATAGTTATCACATATAGAAAATTTTTCCTCAAATAGTAATTATAATATTTAATTAATTAATTAATTAATTAATAATAATAAGCAATCACATTTAGTTAATTTTTTCAATAATAATAATAATAGTTTTTTTTATAATTTGACATATTTTTATGTATATATTTATATTTTGCAAATTTTGTGTATTTTTTTAGTTTGCATTTATTTGTTTTATCTAATTTTTTTTAAGCAAATATAAGTATTTTAGCACATTTTTAAATAAAATTTTTTTTTTATTGAGATAGAAATTTAAAAAAAAAATTTCTAATATTTATAATWATAATAATAATAATAATAATAATACCTAAATAATCTAATTTATGCTGTATAAATTTTAATTATAATTATTAATAAATATTTTTTTTTTAAATAATTAACTACTAAAACTAGTTAATTAATTTTGTTAAAACTAATAATAATTGTTTTTTTAATTAAAAAATAAATTAATAGAAAAAATTGTTGTTTTTTTTTAAAAAATCATCATCAGTGTATAAAATAGATATTTTTACTAATATTTTATCAATTTTTTTTCAAAAAAAAAAATTGTATCCAGGTGTAGTAGTAGTAGTACTAATTGAATAGTAATTGAATGGAAATTAATGGAAATTTATTTAATTAATTTTTTGTTGTTGTTGTAATGTAAATTACATGAGAGAGAAAGTTACGTTTGGAATTTACTCTAAATATATATATATATATTTATATTTAATTTTTTATTCAAATTACCGTAATTTTTTTACACTTAACACTAGCATATAATTTATAAATATATCAATTATTTAAAATAATAATTAAATTTTTTTATACAATGATATTACGGTACAGTATTTTTTTATATATATATAGATATTTAATTGTTTTTTTTAAATTTTTAATATAGAGATATAGATATATATTTGTAAAAAAAATCACAATTAGGTACTAATAATAATAATAATAATAATAACTCAATCTATTTTGTTTTGTTTGCTTTATTTTTTTGTTTAATTATTATTATTATTAAAGGGATGAGCTTTTCAATTATCATTTTATTATTTTTTTTATTATAAATTTTAATTAATTATTATAAGCATTTTATTTATTGTTGTTGTGATATACTATATATATATACTATAATCAATTGGAAAATTATTTTTAATTAATTAATTAATTATTTAATTAATTTTGTTTAAAATAATCATATTTTGTTTGTTTGTTTGTTTAAATACATAATTAATTTTCAATATAAATATATTTAGATATATATATATCAATTTAATGAATCAATCTATAGATAATATCTCAATCAATATGTGATTAATAGATAATAATTGCATTTTAATTATAATTTTTTTAAATCATTATTTTTTCGTAATCAGTAATAAATCGATTTAATAGATAGATATAGATATATATTATAAATATTTAATTAATTGTGTTTCTCATAATTATTATTATTATTAAACCCGAAAACAAAAACAACAACAAAAATCTCACATTTTTTTTAAATAGTATTTTTATATATATATATGAAAACAAACAAACAGTTAGAGAGAGAGAGAGAGAGAAAAAAAACATTATTTGATGAAAAACGCAAATTTAAAATTAAAAAAAAACAAAAACAAATTAACTAATAATTAAAAATAATTGGATGTAATGACAGCAACAAAACAAAACGATAGAAAAAATACATTATATTTTTTGTTTCACACGTTTTCACAATTAATTAATTGATTTATCGATTCAAATAATAATGAGAGAGAGAGAGAGTAGAAAAAATTACTACAAAATAATATGTATTTTTTATATATATATATAAATAAAACAATTATAATATATTTTCTTTTTTATTATTATTATAATAATGTATTCAATTTATTTAGTAATCAATTATTATTATTTTGAGTTTAATAGAGAGAGAGAGAGAGAGAGAGAGAGAGATATTATTAAATATTTATAATTATTAATAATAATAATAATATTTAAAAAAATGCTACAAAAATAACTTTATGTTTCTTTGTTTGCTATTAAATATATTTTTTTTTATTATTAACTAACTAACTAACTATCTATCAAATCACACACTTATCAGTGCTAACTCTAATAAAAACTAACTACCGGTGCTTTGAACTATAGTTATACACTATATATAGAGTAATAATAATAATAATGATTAAAAAAAAACCTGAGTTAATAAATGGATGTATGTTTTGTTGGGATATTTTTTTCTAAATTAATTAATTAATTAATAAATAATAATAATAAAATCAATGTTTGTCTAACTAATATTAAAACAATTATAATAACACAGTGAGTGAGTGAGTGACTGAGTGTGTGTGAGATTTATACTTTAAAAAAATAACAAAAAAATTTCGGGGAATTTTCCTTCAATCAAACAAAAACTAACGGCACATATGGATTCAAATATACAATTCAAATAGTAATAGTAATAATCAATTAATTAATTAATTAATAATAATAATAATAACACTTTGTTTCTTTCTATCGGTTTGTGTGTCGGTGTGTGTGTGTGTGTGTCTTAAGGCGCCAACAATTAGATTAGATAATCGCTATAATAATAATAATAATAGTAATAATAATAATAATAAAAAGAGACCACAAAATAATGATAATAATAACTAATTAATTAATAATAAACACAACAATAACAACAACAACAACAAACCGAAAAACACCAAATGAATGGATCAATCGGTCGGTGCCGCCGATCGGTCAGTCAGTTTAGTTTAGTTGACAGACAGACAGACAAGAGTAACGGTAATTGAATTTTTTTTTACTGATTTAACTGATCAGTCCGTCGGCATAATCGCTAAGATCGGAATCGTCGTCATCGTCGGTCTCATAGCTGGATAGTAGGCCCATCTCTTGGATGTCGAATACGTCCTCCAAATCGAGTGTCAATAGCCAATGATTATTATCCCTGACCTCCAGATAGTTCCACAGCAACATATCCCTCAGGGTTTCGAGTTCGCCCTCTTGATTCTGGCGCCGTCGTTGGCGGGGTGGCGGCATTTCGGCTTTACGGCCGTCGGGGTAGGCGTGCAGATAGAAACAGGCGCCGGCAAACGGACATTCGCCCTGTCCTTGTTTGAAATATTTGCACGGTTTAGTGGACAAGGCTTTCTTGTACGATAGGATCAGCTGTTGTTTATCTGATTGATCGTCGTACCAGTATTTCGATGGTATAACAAAATCGCTGGATACCCGACACTCGGGACATGACCTGATGGTACGGTTATCAAACTGTTTGGTTTGACGCCATTTACGTATACAACTCAAGCAGAAAATATGGGCACATTTCTCCAGTATACCGAACCGGCGTTCGGTTATCGGCTCTTTTTCCATAACAATGTCCATACATATACCGCAAGCTTTATCAAGGGATCGTTGGACAGCAAACGATAGTTCCATTTCGCGTTCGTGTTCGCGAATACATTCGTCCCGATGACGGTCACGTTGACCGGGATCGGTCGGATGTAGACAATATTGGCCACAATAGTCACATTCTTCGCCGTGAGTGTACTGGCATTGGCCCAGAGGATAGGGACATATGCCGCCGATAGCGTGCATAGCGTACGGACATAGTGTCTTGTATTTGGGTGCGGCGACGGGCGGCGGTGCCGCTGATATTGTTGGTCGCACTTTGTTGTCGTTGTCCATATCACTACTACTACCGATTATAGTGTCCATCATCGACATCATCACTGGTGCAGTAGTAGTATTAGTAGTACCGGTATTATAGCTATAGTTGTTATAGCAATCGGGTTGTTGTTGAGTAGTAGTATTGGTGGTCGTCATCATTGTTGTTGAGATCTGATGGTTGTTATTGTCCACTAGTAGTGTTGATGATGACTGCGCCGCCGCTGCCGACTGTGCGGCGGACGCAATCTGAGCATACGATTTGGTGGTAGCGGAGGCTGCTGTGGCCGCTGCTGCTGTCGTATTAGTTGGCGAACCGCAACCAATGCCCGAATCGCTAGACGATTGTCGCGAATCGGTTTTCAGACTAGGATTTGACGTCAGTATAGGTCTTAGGCGTTGTTGTTGTTGTTTTTGATTAGCTGTTGATAGTATTGATGGTATTGTTGTTGTTGTTGTTGCTGTCGATGACATCGACGGCTTAAACAACGGCAAAATAAAAGGAGGTTTTATTGATGAGCTTTCGTTGTTGTTTGGCTTATGACTACTACTACTACTACTTGAAGTACTTGTTGTTGTTGTCGTCGATGACGACGACGACATTGTTGAGGAGTTTATGGTTCGGGAATTGGTATTAAAGGGCACTAAATGTGGCTTTTGATTGTGTGGTTGCGGTTGTTGTTGACCACTATTAGCACCGATAACGGTTGTGGTGGTGGTAACTGTAGCACCAGTAGCCACTTTATGCCGATTGTTGGCAATCAGTGTCTGTAAGGACTGGTCGGGCGATAGTCCCGGTGCCAGTGGATCGGCGTACGTATGATCGTCGGCAACAATGTTGGCGGCGGCGGCCACTGTTGAGTTGGTGGAGGTTATCGTCGTCACCGATGATGGCGGCGGCGGCGGTACTAACGGTGTTGATTGATGATGACTACTACCGTTACCGCTGTTGTTGTTGGCCACCAATAATAGCTGGCCAGCAGTCAAATGCTCGAAACGGCAATTGTCGCCAAACATACAATGACTTTGCAAATGATACCAACAAACCGATTCGGGTATCGGCTGGGATCGGTTCGGGTCGTGCGAAAATCGACACCAATGGCCATCGCGACACTGACCGCGCAAATGAAATCTGCATAACAGTCGGCGGCGATCGTCATCGGTATTGATGTTAGTGTCCGCGGCTGCGGCGGTGGCCGACGACGACGACGACGACTCGGTAGTGTCCATAAGGATAGTGTTGTCCAATAGTAAACCACTAGAGCTTACTTGCGGTGGTAGCCATTGGTGTTGGTGGCCAGTGGTGGTCACTGAACCCGATGAACCCGATGTTGAGGCAGCCATTGACTGACTATTAATATTTGTTTCAATTATTTTTCTATTATTATTATTATTATTATTATTAGTATTAATAGTATTATTATTAGTAGTAATGGCAGCCATTTGTATGACTATGCGATAGCTTATAGAATATATATATATATATATATATATAGTATTAAACAGTATTTCAATGTATTTCAATACACACTATGTGTTTGTTATTATTATTATACTGTACTGTATGTGTGCTTTAAATTTGTTTTTTTTGTTGTATTTATACAACACTAGCTTATATAATGTATATCAATACTACTCTCTAATATGTGTTAGTAATACACATACACTCTATGTGTGTGTGTGTGTGTGTGGTTAGGAGTAGTGTTGTATTGATAGACTGTATATACTGTATGTGTGTGTGTGTGTTGTATATAATGTGTTCTATTATGAGTGTGTTATTCCAATGACTCAATTACTACTAGAGTAGAGTAAAGTGCAAACTATGTGTGTGTGTATACTGTACTGGAAATAAGTTCCCACCAATAATAATAGATAAAAGTTTCCCTTAAAAATAAAATTTTTAGTATTCCATTTGCTTTGTTATTTTTTTTAAATTTTAAAAAATAAATACATAGAAATTTTTATATTATAACCAGATTGTTTTTTTTAATATTAAATAGGCAACTGTATTTATTTTGTTTGGATAATTATATTAGGGAATATTCAAATAAGTTATTCCCCCCCTAATATAAAATAAAATATTATTGCTAACATTAACATGTAATATTTAAATATTGTACAGTGTAATTTTTTTTATTAGGGGGACCGTTCATATATTTCGTAAATAATTAATTAGGTAAAATTGGGTAAAGTCTGGGGGGTGGGGGGGGGTTGTATCTAAAAAATTTATATATTTATTTAACCTAGATTATATTAGTATTATTATTAATTATTAATAGACTATAAAATAGTTAATTTAGAAAAAGATATAAAAGTTTACAAAAAAAAAAATAATATTTCAATTATAGCAGTAGTAGTTTTTTTTAGATGCAATTTTTTATTTAAATTTTAGTTTTTTTATATATTTTTTTTTTATATTAACATGTAATTTTATTTCCTATTATTTTTATATATTATTTATTTTTTTTTGTAATAATATAAATATTAATATTAAACTAGTTTTATTAATATGTGTGCAATGTACATAGATTAATTTTTATTTTTTTATTTATTTTATTTATTATAGCATCAACGTTATTTTATCGTAATTTTAGCAATAATTTTAGCAATAATTTTTATCATGTAATAACTTATAAATATTTCAAATATTTTTTCGTAACAATGATTAACCAATGATTTCCTATTAGTCAATTTAGCTAAAAATATTTATTTATTTTATTTTTTTATAAAAAATAAAAACTAGTAAAATTAATTTTATTAGTGCAATTGTTAGTGCAATTTTTTAAATGCAACATTGCAGTATGATAAAAAAAAATGTTGTAGTAAACAATATAATTTATACATATATATAAATATATATATATATATATATATATATATATATGTTAAAATATATAAAAATAATATATAGTACAACAACAAAAAAAACTAATTAATAAAATCAACTAAATTTGCAAATATTTTTAATTTTTAAAAAAAATTTATTAATAAAAAGTTTAATTTATTTTCTGAAGTTATTAGTAAATAATATATTTTTTTATTTTTTTAAAAAAATCTATATATTAATTATAAATAGACTTGTAAACTTTTTTTTTAATGCAAATAATATATTTATATATATATATATTTAAAATCAGAAAAAATAATATAATAATTTTATTAAGATTATTGAGTGTTATTTAGTTTTAAAATAATTTTAATAAAAAGTCTAATTAATTAGTAATTAAAAAATAATAAACAATGTCAAAAATGTAAATTATTTATACTATAAAACTATTTATCTATATATATATATTTTATTTAAAATTATCAAGTTACAATTTTCAAAATTTATTATTATTATTATTACTAATTAATAATAATTTTTTTTTACTTATTATAGATTCAATTATAGTCAATGATGTTTTACTATATTTATATGTATATATACAGTATATTACTAATATAATTAATATATAATATATAACTAATATAAAATTATTTATCTACATATATATTTGTCTAAAATTATATTTTACAGTTTATAAAAATATAATATATTTTAATAAAATAAAAATAAATAATTATTAAAAACTTTATAAGCTAACTTAAATATTTAATTATAAATTTGAACCAATAAAATTTCTATGAAAAAAATTGTCATAACAAATTAGTTACTGTTGTTAAAAAAATTAAAATAATAATTTTTTTTTAATTTTTCAATTAATTTAAATCTACAATATTGTATGATAATTTTATTAATAGATTACAAATTTTATAAATTATTTTATAATCTAATACAAATAAAAAATTAATGATTTATTGTTTTTTTATTATTTATAAAAAAAGTTTTTAAATTTTTTGCATTAACTTTTTTTAGTTAGCATTATATTGTAATTTATGATATAATAATAAATAGATTTATTTAAAAAAAATTTCTATAGAAAATATAATAATAATATTATTAGAAATAAATTAATCAAATAATTGTAGTAGTAATAATTTAAAAAAAAAATTATTAATTATAGATTAAAATTGAAAATTTTTAATTAATTTGCAAAATAAATTAAATTGTAGACACTAGTACATTCTATATTTAATTATTGTTAAGCTATTTATCTAAATATATTTTTATAAAACAATTATCATGTTACAGTTTTTAATAATAATTATTAATTATGATTTTAAAAAATTAAATGCTAATATATTTTTTTTTATTATTAATATATTTAAATACAGTATTTTTTTGTCATCATAAAAATTATATTGTACATTTTAATAAAAACATTATAATTATATATTAATAATTTTCATAAAAAACTAAAATATTTATAAATAAAACTATTATCATTATTATTGATCAAATACTATTTATACTAATATACTATTTATACTAATATACTATTTATATATAAACATTATAAAATTTGTGATAATTAATTAGTTACAGTTTTTTTATTTAAAAAAATTGATTATGAATATTATATCAAATTTTAGTTTTAATTTAGTATATTTATTATTACTTCTATATTTATTAATTTAATTAATCAAAAAAATAATAATTTAATAACAAATCTAAAGATTAATTCAAAAGTTTTTTTTAAATTATAACAATATTTCTGATAAATTTATAATATATTTTTTTTGGATAATTAATTCAATAACTTTAAAAATATTTGTTTTTAATAATAGTAGAATTATAAATTAAATATATAATTAAACTTAATTAAATGTTTTTTTTAAATGTTTAATTATATATTAAATCTATAATTTATAATTAAACGATATTTTTAAAATTTACATTTATTTACTTTTTATTGATTGTCGACAAGTCTAAATTTATTATTTTGATAAAACTATATATCTACATATAATTTTATTTTGAATTATTATGTTACAATTTTTAAAAAAATAATATTTTTTTTACAAAAAAAATAACTGCAATATTAAAAATTATTAATTACTTTATATACTAACTTCGCTAATAATCTAAATTTATTAAATAAAATATATCTATTGAATTATCAGCATAATTAATATGTTACAGTTTTTAAAAAATAAATTTAAAACTAAATTTTTTTATAATTAAAAAAATAAATAATTCATTTACTACTTTATAATAAATTAAAAACTACTAATATTTTATATAAAAAAAATAAATAAATATTATGTAATAAGTGGTCGATAATAATCGTTGAATTGATTATTAGTATTATTATTATTATTAGTTAAGTGTATTTAATTATATCTAATTGTTTAAATAATTGATCAAAAATAATAATTAAAAAAAATTTTTTTTTTAAAACTTATTAAATACTGTACTATCAACACTTGCTTGTCTAGTTTAAATTAATTTGAAATAATAAATATATCTAATTAATATTTTTAGATAATTAATTAGTTACAGTTAATCAAAAATAATTTTCTATCTATATTTTTATTTACTATTGTATCAACAAAAAAAAAATTAAAACTAATAATATTGTATATTATAATACAGTAATTAGAGTGTATATACAAATATATATAAAATACTAATAATAATTATTATTATTTCAATTATTTCAATTATAATTTAATAACTAATTATAATTATTTATTTATTTCAAATAATTTAATAACACTAAAAATTTTTTAAAAAATAATATACTAAAACTAATTTGATTTTTTTTTGGTATAATAATTATTTGAAAACTAATTATAATAATTTATTTTAATGTTTAATAACTAATATATATACTAAAACTAATTAGATTTTTTTGTATAATAATTATAGGCAATCGTTACAATCAATGGCAATGCTATATACAATACTGTTGACGGTTTAATCCACTGTTTGATTAGCAATGGATAATCTCTTGAGATAATCCCTATAATATCGCTATTGTTTGATTGGTTGGCCGACCCAACTAACTGTTGACTACGTTTAGCCATAAAAAATTGTACCAAACATTGATGGGCATCGGGTCGTCGGCCACTATTGGCCAGCACTGGTAGTCTATTGTCTAACCAATCGTTGAAACTATCCAACTGTTCGACATCACTGGCCGTCAAACTCCATGTGCTCATCGATTGTATTAGTTGTCTAGTGGTAGGCCTATCCCTGTCGTTGCCGCTAATCATCTGATATGTCAATCGTTTAATAATATCTCGTTTTTTATCAACAGTTTGTTTCATATAATCAGTTGGACTGTAAGTATTCAAAAAAAAAATTTAATTAAAAAAAACAATAATTAATTAATTAATAATTTTTTTTTAAATAAATTATAAAAAAAATAATATAATTTAAAATAACAAAAAAATATTATTATAAAAAATATAGATATTTCCACAAAAAAAAATTCCTAAAAAATTTCAGTATATAATTAATATTATTATTATTTTACAATTTATTTACAGTTAGAATATAAAATAATTTTTTTAAATCTATTAAAACTAAAAAAATAACTTAAAATTTTAATCAAGATTAATTGAAATTAA